ACAAATCCCTCACTAAAACCCCCTCCGGCTGTGGGCAATTGAATTCGATGACCCAAGATCAGCCTTTTGCATTTGTCTCCTTTAAGTTGAATCTTAAAATATTTGGCCTAGGATCCAAAAGTGGTGTCAGCACAAACACGTCTAAGACATCTATCATTTATTCCTTCATTCAGTCACCCAGGAAGTGATTTTCTCCAGTTTTATGTCTTCAGTGAACGTGACCAGTCTCCACACTGTATCTTTACTCAGTTGTATTTTATGCAAAGTCTTTAAAAAAAACAAGTCCAACAGGGCAAAGGCCTAACATGGAACACCTCCCTGAAGAACAACTGACCACCGAATTAGTTTCTCTATGAATTCGGCAAATTAATGCCATTAGTCCAAATTGAGCCCCTACTCCAGGCCAGGTCATGGTCTACAGATAGCATACAGCATGTTCACCGCACACGGCAGTGAGCCAACCAGACAGGCTTCCTGCTTTCTGCAGAGGAGGGCACAGAGGACAATCAACACTTACAAACAGATAACTGCCAATATGTTTTAGCTTGCCTATGTGCCAGCCATTGTTCCGAATGCTTTATGTGCTTGCTCCTCACAAAGCCTTATGAGGTCAGAACTCTTCTTGTTCCTGTTTCACAGATTAAAAGGCAGAGAAGTTGTCATTTGCTCCAGGTCATACGGACCCTAAAGGACGGAGCCTCGACTTGGGCAGTCTGTCTGCAGAGCCTGTATGTTTCACCACTGGGCTCTACTGTGTCTCTGTAGAAACACACATTCAATTAAATACACACATATACATACAAGCAAACGTTCCCATGTGAGACAGGGTGATATTTAAGCTGAGATCTTAATATCAAGAGGACACCGACTCCTCAAGATCTGGGGGGAAAGCAAAAGGGAGTGTGGTAGAGGACGAGGCTAGCGAGGTGGGCGGGGGCCTGCTCCATATACCAGGGATTGGGGCTACAGTAATTTAACTAATGGTGAGCGTGCCTAGTTGCTTCAGTATCCTACCCATACACACCCATCCTGTCCACAGATATACTACAAATGATTTCCCTTCCTGATCCCCATACATGATCAAAGGACACCCCCTTTGTACTCCAAACCGTTCCCTTCCTGTCTTCAAAATCAGTGTGGCACATAAAAATAGTTTTGTTTTTGCTTTTTTTTTTTTTTTTTTTTTTTT